CGATCCACCAAAATGCCCCCTCCAAAAAGCCAAAAGCCCTGAAACAAGGTCGCTGATAATTTTGGACGGAAACTCACTCGTGAAGAAATGTAATTCAATTAACTCGGGAGGAGACTAATTACAACATTCTAACAGATTAAACAAGTGGAACAATAAACATGAATCATTATCGATCAGTATTGATTGCGCAGAATCACTTTGAGGAAGCGATAATGAAAAAACTGGTCACATGCGCAAATTAGGCCGACCGTCTCCGATTTCCCCGCTCTCGGCCCATCTTACCGCTCAATCGACCGTCTCTTAAGAGGGGAATAAACGCTGCCTGAAACGGAGCTCTATTTGTCGGGCTCAGTCGGTCGGCACTTGAAAGCATCTGCAGGTTGGTTCATCGTTGTGCTTGAGTACCACCCACATCCGATTGAGTTACAGTCTCTCATAGCGCCGAGCCACACAACCTCACAGAATCCTGCCAGGTGGTAATCTCATTAGCACAACAAAACAAGACTTTCGATGAAATCAATTGATTTTTTAGCCGATTTCGAGCATGATTTTGACTAAAAGTGGGATCATTCGCCAAGGTTGTGGGAAGCACGACGAGAGCGCGCCTGTCGTCAGAAGGAACTGTTGTGGTCACCCTCAATATTACCCTGTTCTGAATCATTTCCTATCTCTGAAGTCTTTCCATAAGTACTGTTACTAACACTCATCATAACCAGAGCCAAGAGAGCAATCCTCTTGTTAATCAAAGAATACATTGTGGTACTGTTCGGCTTGGGAGGGCATTTTGCACTTTTGCTTGATTCCTTTGCTAATTCCTGTTGAATACCACTTTTCACCTTGATGAGACTTGTAGACTCTTGTCAAGTGCAAACGACCTCCTGAGATTGCACAGCTTTACAAAAACCTACAGGTCTGGAATGAAGGCACCGGCAGAGGTCGATGGGGACAAATAAAATGCTCCCACCACGCCGTACAGCACCCGCATGGTACTACATAATGTACTAATGAAGGCTGATGCGTCGTTACTTGTTCAGATGTGAGTGCTATTGATGTAAAGCGCAAGTGTGGTGCCGCTATCGCGTGGTGAGTTGAGGGTTGCGATCCAGATAGTCCATTCCTGGTGCAAACGACGCCTTACACGCTCAGAGCTCCAGATCTACACAACCAGTCTAGACTAATTTAGAGATATTAACCACTTTATTCTTGTTACTATTTCCCGGATCGTGGAAATAGGGTGTCCAGACTAGGATCGGACTTGCTGGGAGGAAAAAAGTGCTGAGATGGATAATGCGGCTGACCTCTGTTTTATCGGCTCATAATGCAGCCTGTAATGCAATGACGAAGTCTGAAATGGAAGGTAGAAATTGTGGAGCAACACCTCCAACACGTGATGGCGACATTCAGTTAAGAAGGTGGGGATTTTGAGCCTCCACGGCTCTTTATTAAGTTACTATTAAGATAACCGGGTTTATGCTAGCTAAGGGGAAGACCGGATAAAGGAGATCGTAAATTGGCCGCCGACCACAGCGCTGCGATGCTTCGCTGCGTTTTCATAATGTTTTAACTTGTCAATGAGAGCACCGGGACTTACATTAGACCGTCATTGTAGACATTCATTACTGTTTTCGGTCCTTAATTGCATGTTGTCGCCATCTACTGCCTGAAACCATCGTCCTTTGCGGGCGAGACGTCGCACGCGACGCCCAGCAGCGCGGCAAATTACGATCCTCTTGTCACATACCTGAATTCCCCCAGGTCTTCATGGTGCCTTAAAAGCTTAGGCAGAGTACAATTATGCCCGCCGAGTCGAAAATGCGCCATTTTTGTAATAAGAAAGAACTCAACAGAATATAGGAGAATAGTGCTCAAGCGATCCATACCTTTCATGCATAATATACTTACTATACTGAAAGTCAGGGTCTTACCGCAAGATATGCTGACTCCTGCTGTGATTTATCCATAACGTAATGGGATGGTCCTATTTGCGCTAGGAAGCTCGTTGGAGTCCGCCTTGGGTGTGGCGGGGGGGGGGGGCTTTTGCACTATCGCTACTTGCCATCTTCATGTCGAGGCAAGTAGAGGTTTGTGAAAACTTGTGAAGCCGTGAAATGATACCAATTAAAATTTGCGGAACCTACTTGTCAACTCTTGTGAAGATTACCTGTCAACTCTTGTAAAGCAATGAACACGAAGATGGGAAGTAGCAGAAGAGCAAAAATGCCCCCCTACCTTAAGCCTAGCTACATCGGAAGCTCATTTTGCACTATGCAAATGATTTTTTTTATTTTCCCAAGAAATCAAATATTAGTTCTGACCCTGTTGCCCATTTGACCTCGATGATCCTTGTATTGAACTGCAATACCGAACCAGCGCTCTACCAACTTCCGGGACTTGACGTGACCACGGAGTTCATGCTCATGACTTGTCGCGCGTCAAGCACCTACTCGACGAGCACTTCACCCGAGGCGATCAAAGGCACTCTATGGTGGACAAACAGGGAAGTACGTCAATGACCACACTACGGACCACATTGGTGGCACCACGTACCTCCCTTCAGAATGACCGTCCGTCTGAACGGGCAGGCTTTTTCATGGCCGTGACAGAGCTGGTGTAGACGGTGGTTTACTTAGGTCAATTAGTTTGCACAAACATAAGCGCTCCAGTCGCTCATCTTTTTGCGCGTTGAGCCAAGCCGCCAAAGGCGCGTACGGTAATCGAGGCAAGGGCAAACCTTTTAACCGACAACACAATGTTATCTAATTAGAACAATGTCGTCGGCGGGCATAGTTCCGCTCAGAAAATGAAGCGCCCAGGCGTTTTGTGTGTCTGGCCCGTTCGCATTGGCACGGACGAGGTCATCAAGTCATTCTAGAAGATGTGTACCCATACTTGACCACTGAACGCTGTTCTCTACGGGAAGCTTTTCACACCACGCAGTACAGCTTCACACTCACATGGGAGGCCTGATGACTGTGTCAAGTACTTGAAAGGAAATCTTTAAGAGTTCAGAGCTGCTAGTGAAGACCCTTTATCCAATGTGTAGACTTCAAGATGTTCAAAATGGAATTACTGGTTATTATTCACTTATCTGTCACTTCTCGCCTTGCTGATCAGGGAGCCAGTAACATCCAGCGAGAACCGCTAAAGTCTACAGACCTCCCTGTGTGAGCCAGAAGAGCCCAGTGGACACTCTGTTGGCCCGACAAAAGACAGAAACTCTTTCATTTTTCGGGCGGCAAAGTTTTTCAATGGAAAAGCGACGCATAGCTCTAGCCAGTAACCACACGACTTTCCACGGGCTTGTAGTTCGCGTGAGGCGCCGTGGTCCCCGACCACTCGCTGGATCTTCATTAACATTGCAAAAGCGTGGGAAGTCATCACCTCCGACTAGTGGTTGTACGATTACTATCATGTTCAATACTGACTTTTACTACTGCCACTGGTATGGTTTACTATAACTAGCACGGTGCTGGAAAAATATCGTAATCACGAAATTAGCGAACATATAAATACCGGCGGTGTTGGGCTTGAGGTAGGGGAGGGGGATTTTCTCTCTTCAGCTGCCTTTTGATACTTTCTGTGGGAAATTTAAACAACGCCTCAGCCTCCCGTCTCCCTCCCTCAGAAGCCGTAAGCCCGTAAACCTTCGCCATTGTAAACGAGGCTGGTGCTATTCATAACAGTACAAGCAATTTTGTACACGTCTCGAATAGAAAGCATTTTCAAGGTATTTTTCATCGATAGCAAGATGCCCTCACTAAAGCCGAACGGGCGCCGAATGTTCACTCGAAGTTCGTGGTGGCTCTACTAAATCAAGCATTCAGTTGTCGCCCCAAGATTCTGTGTGTCCAGCGTGGGCCAGATATGAAAAAGTCCAACTGAAACCCCTGCCCGCTTAAAAAACCTTCGAAGTCACATGAACAGGATGTCAATAAGACTGCTTGGAACAGGCTCGTCCTGCTGTTAGCGAAAATTTTTGTAAAATGCCCCTTCCCCTTCCCCAAAATTTCTTTCTCTGCTATGACTACAGTGGTTACTTATACCATTTCGTTGCTTCATAGTTCACAAGTCTCATAGTCTCACCAAAATGTAACAAGTTAAAAGCATGAACTTACAAAAGGAACTAGGGAGAGTGCAAAGTGCCCCTCTCAAGCCCAAGAGCGCCGTCCTTGTCTTTTCCTTATGATTGAAATCCTGCATCTGGGCCTGTTCTTACGACTTCCCTTGTTATCGTTGACAGAAACCTTGACACACTCCTCCTCCGTGGCCTTCCTCCCACTCCTTCACAGGTGTTGTTCTCATCAGAGAATACGGTAGCACTTATGATGATAGGAATGAACGGGTTCCTGTGTGAGATGAGGTGGCCACGAGTGGCGCGGACCATCTGTTGTGTCGATTCAGATACCGGGCGTTCGGGTACGGGGGGCGCCCGTGAACAGACTGTGTCCGACTTGAAGTGGTAGTGGACGACAGAGGGAGAGTGAATAGATCTCCGTGATGTTAAGTGGACATCCTTCACTTAATGCACACTTTTATTCATCTTCAAGTGCCTTCACACATCTCCTTCACACACACCTCATATACATACACAATATGATGATGATGATGACGGTATACCTGCCATAAATAATTTAACACAATAAATGAGACGCAAACGGAACGCATACGCACGCGCCGCACCGCACCATATGCCTTCCTTAAGGGAAAATGGAAAATTCAGCAGGAAGCACAAAGTAAATGGCATCGGCACATGCTCATACAACAGCAACACAACACATACTATACATTCGAGCAACACGAGAGGGTTGAGCTCGTGGCCAAAGGTACGATAACGGATTATTACGAACAATACTCTGTATTTGACGGTACATACACGAACTAACTGATGTGAAAATCACTGTAAATAGAACTATGAGAGCAAGCGAATACAGTGTGCTGAAACGAACAATATCATCCCATTACGGTACGCATTGATCGAACAACACGCAGTAATCAATAAATTACAATCGATACTGTGAATATGGATATTGACCGGTAGTTGAGTAACCCTGAGCGAATGGGAACGTGATGCCTTGCGGAATGTAGGCATGTTGTTGATACATCGCCTGAAATGCGGGAATTATGAGACTGTAAAATAACTGGGCCGCCTAATTAAACATGTAACAGTAAGAAAAGTGCAGTTTGGCCTGGAGGGGGCACTGAATGCTCAGCTGGCCTTGTTAAGGCCACCTTGTGAGGACCTGTCAATTCCTGTGACCACAGTGGCTCAACACTCCATTTCGCAGTTTCGCAGGAGCTTAGTCTCACCAAAGTGAAACGTGTCACTTCACATGACCAATCAAAAGGAGCTAGCGGAAGAGCGAAATGCCCCTCCAAGCCGAACAACACCGAAAGAAAGGCCATACGAAATTCTTTAGTGTTTTTCGGAGGAAGGGTTACTAAGTGCTCATCAGCTCGCGGTCAGAGAGGGCTTTAAGAACTTCAAAAAATTGGATTATTAGGTAGG